TCTACATATGCGTGTGTGTTTTGAGTGTATGGCTTTTTTCTAATAACGGACTCTTGCGTGTGTTTGTTATTTTTGTGTTTTAATAGCGTATATCCAATCGATTCGGTATCTACTGTAATCGGATTTGCGCCGCGTGGTTCAAGGTCTGAGTTGGAGTCGTCCTCTGATTCCTTATGTGATGATTCGTTAGGGTACGATAGATGGTGGCAAGAATGGCAAGAAGACATGTGGTATAAATTGGACCTTGATTTTATTATGATGGGCCGGGAAGAGGAGGAGGAGGAGGGGGGGGAAGGTTGACGCTGCCTATGATGAGTATCTTGAATATGAATGTGGCATGATCGATAGTGCGATCGAATTATTTGTATCTGTTTCTGCACAAACGGCCCAAATGGATCTGAAGATGGATGGCTAAGATCTGGTTACATCCAAATAGCATAATGTTCGCACAAATTAAATTGTCAGGGTACAGCATATGTGAGTATGTGTAACGTGTATTCGTATGTGCTTTTGCATTTTCGCACGGGTACCGAAAAATAAAGGGTTGGTGCAAAGGGAAGCGGGGTGTGATTGAGCATTGGCCGTATCCCAATTTTTTTTCTTCTATTTCTGTTGGTTGGTGTATGTTGGTATGTGAGTTGGTTTGATCCCATCTACTCTTTTTTTTTCTTCCTATGCGCATTCATTTACACTTTAGCTGTATTCAAGGCGGGCGGGTGATGACAGCGGCGAGCGTTGGCTTGCGTATTGGTTTATTTTCAAACTTTTTTTTCTGTTTATTTTTGCGATTGTGTTTATTGCGCGTTTCAAGTAAAATAATTAATTCGGACAGCTAAGTAAACGAATGTCATTTTCCGATTAGACCACTAATCAATCATTCCGATTAGAGGGCTAATTTTTTACATGACACAATGCTTTGCTTGGTCAATGCTTGGAACAGAGCGAATAACGACCTAGGAATAGTTTATCACTTAGTGTTTTGAGATGAATGTTTGACCTCAAAACATTAAGGGTTAAGCTATTCAAGCAAGGTAATGCTGGCTACGCGAAGTGGTGTAAAAACTGTCCTCTCTCCCTCACAAATCTCCACAAAAAATATTTCCGCTCCATGAGCAATGAAAATGAAAATGAAAATGAAAATTTTCTTGATGGTGTCAGATTAGAATTCGAAACAGTTCGAAATAAGAATTCGAAACAGTTCGAAATAAGAATTCCCCGATTTGAGACTATTCTCCCATTAGATAGAAAAAATTTTACATCATTTTATTTGAAACGCGCAATAGTATGCATATGTACTTCGCCCATACTGCAGGCTGGCATAAAGAGCTCGATGAAGTGGGTAAGGTTGCACAGGTTAGTTGTAACGTAACTTTTTTTGATGTGCTATCTTTGGGTGTGCATGATGTTGTTCCTTCAACTGAACCGTGGATGTTTCGGCATTTCAAACGGACGTTTCGGCATTTTACATGCAGATCAAATTGGACTGTTGATCAGCATTCATTTTTTTTCCAGAAAACCAGATCTGTTTATCACGTTTACGTGTAATCCAAAGTGGCCCGAGATCACCGATCATCTCCTAGGACGACAAACAGCTACCGACCGTCCTGATTTAACAACTCGGGTATTCGCCGCCAAACTTAGATCCTTACTGGATGATCTTTTGCTATACGACGTTTTGGGCAAGGTTTGTGTACAAACAGTTTTGTCTATTTAATGCCCTTTCTTTTTTTTTTATCTGTTTGAGCAATGTCATGTTATCAAAACTAATTAGTACATATATCGCTTTACTTTATGTAAGGTTATTGGATGGTGTTGGGTTATAGAGTTTCAAAAGAGAGGTCTACCTCACTGTCACATTCTGCTCATTCTGGATCCCAAAGGCAAGCCCAAGACACCTGCTTACTTCAATACAATTGTCTCGGCGGAGCTTCCAGACAAAACCAGTCATCCTCTCACCTATGCAAGCGTTACTTGCACTATGATTCATGGACCCTGTGGCGAACAGCACAAGAACGCTCTCTGTATGGTTGAGGGTACCAATGGCAAATGGTACTGCTCAAAAGGATTTCCGAAACCCCTCAGAGACACGACCATTGGACAGGAGGATGGCTATCCATTATACCGACGGCGCAGTGGACCCTGTCACATAACCCGCCGTAATCAGCAAATCGACAACTCTTGGATCGTTCCCTACAATGCTTGGCTGACTACTAAGTACGATGCTCATATCAATGTCGGGATCTGCAACTCAGTCAAGGCTGTGAAGTATTTGTATAAATACGTTCATAAAGGACATGATCGCGCCAAGGTATTGTCTCACTTTTTTTTTATTACGTTAAATAATGTCATATCTTCACCTACCATAGTAGATTTAATTATGCTTTATATTTTCTTTTTTAACTTCCAAGGTTGGAGTTGCCAACGCGTCCGCTCGAGATGAAATAACAGAATATATTGACGCCAGATACGTCTCAGCCTGTGAGGCAATGTGGAGACTGCTGACGCTGCCCATGCATGGACACTCACCTAGCATTATTCGACTGCAGGTGCATCTACCAGGACAACACTTGGTCACCATAAAAAAAAAAGGGCGCGACACTAGAACATGCCGTCAACAAAAATAGCGACAGTATGCTTATGGCATATTTCACCCTCAATGCTCACGACAACAACGCCCATCAATACACCTACTACCAACTACCCGAGCATTATGGTTTTGATCATCAGACCCGATCTTGGCATAAACGACGACTTCGACACGACACCATAGCACGCATGTACACCGTACACCCAAAGGATGGAGAACGATACATGCTTAGAGTGCTACTCATGCATGTTACCGGCGCTAAAGGCTTTGAGGAACTCAGGACGTACAAAGGCATCATCTATCCTTCTTTCTGGGCTGCCGCTCAAGCACGGGGTCTTTTGACAAACGATGCTGAATGGATCAACTGCTTAAGAGAAGCAAATGCGCTACAACACCCACGACATCTCCGATACCTATTTGCAATGATCCTCTGTTGCTGCAGCCCATCCGATCCAAAGAAGCTCTGGACTCTATATGCCAACGACCTGTCTGCCGACTTTCTCTATAAGGTGAGTTATAATCATATATATCACAATAAACGAAAAGAACACAAGTACTCGCCATCCCTGGATGAACAGATTCCGCTCTTTGTTTTATTAGCCTTACACCTATTGCGCCTTGCAACCAAAATAATTAATTCGAACAACTAAACCCTGATTAAGTTGCTGTTCACAACTAAAATTTTGTTCCGCGCCTGTGTACACTCCGCTCTCCACTGAATTTTGTTGGATTAGTTTTAATTTTTTTGCCTCATTTTGTAAGAAAGGCACAATACTGTTGATATTACTCTACTATTATTTAATATTTTTCATAAGGCGCAACAATGTTAACTCTACAGTCCTGACGATCCACAAGCCATAATTGATGCCAGATACATTGCACTCTTCCATATCAACAGTTTACTCAACGATATGGAATCGAGCCTCGACAAATACCCAACCATGCCTCAACACACACACGACAATATTATCAATTATCCCTGGAACAACACTACCAGCCAAGATCGTACTCACCATGAACCAACAGTACAGGAATATGCACAACTAGCAACAATCCACCTTCGTCTGTTAACACCTGAACAGGCAACTGTCATCAACACAATCATCGCTACGATCTCCTCAAGGACATTTAAGCGACTATTTTTTATTGATGGCCCTGGAGGAACAGGAAAAAACTTTTTATATAATACTCTTATCGAGTACATACGCGGACATCAACAAAGGCCGGTCGTAGTCGTCGCATCTTCAGGAATCGCCTCAATAATCTTGCACCAAGGACATACAGCCCATACAGCATTCAGCATTCCCCTCAACATAACCGACAAAACAACAACTTTCCTTACCAGAAATAGTATCCTTGGTAAAGCCGTCATCAATGCAGCAGCTGTCTTTTGGGATGAGGCGCCCATGCTTCACAACAAAGTATTTGAGGCAGTCGACAAAACGTTTCGCCACTTGACAGAGGCAACAAACATACCGTTCGGCGGCAGAGTTATCGTATTTGGAGGCGACTTCCGACAGATACTCCCAATCGTTTTACATGGATCAGAGTCCGACGTCATAAATGCATCCTTAAAAAAATCAACAACTATCTGGAACCATATCACCGTCCTCAAGCTCACCAAAAACTTAAGGATCAGAAACAACGACGAGCATCAACCATACATCGATTACCTTCTCAGAATTGGCAACGGCACAGAGACAATGTACAGCGATGGCAACCACCACGATTACGTTAAGATACCAGACAACATCATCCTTCACCCAACAGGAGTCAACATCAACGACAGCTATGAACAACAGTTGATACGCACCACCTTCCCAGATATCGACTTACCAACATTTCCCCTGACATTTTTGAAGACAGAGCGATTCTCTGTCCTCTAAATGTTGACATCAACAAAATCAACACTCTTGCTACCGATATGTTCCACTCAGATAAAGCTGAAACGTAATAGGAGCAGAGCAAGAGAGAAGAGACAAGGGTGATGGCAAGGAAGGAAGGCAAGAGGCAAGGATAATAGCAAGGGAAAGAGACAAGAGGGTGTGGGGACAAGAGGAAAGGGCAAGAAGGAATGAGGTTTATTGTACAGGAGGGATAGGGTATTTATACGTCTATGGTATGAGGGATTATGGTGAGGTAATAATAAGCAGGGGTAGTGTGTAAGACAGACACACAAGATATTAACAAGGAAGTAAGGAACAAGGCAGCCAAAAGCAGGAGGCAATCTACAATCCTATTACATGAAACGTACACAAGTGTCGACTACACGGACATCAATCCAAATCAAGCTGTTCACTTTCCACCAGAATTCCTCAACACGCTTGACATCTCCTCTATACCACCACACAAACTTACACTAAAAGTAGGACAGCCAATTATCCTACTCCTCAATATCTCAACAAAACGAGGGATGTGCAATGGAACGCGACTACAGATCACCAACCTTAAAAAATATGTCATCGAGGCGAAAATCTTGCCTGGATCGTTTACCTACAACATTGTCCTCATATCCCGCATTCCTCTCACAACAAACGACGACGGTACATCACCTATCAAATTTACCCGACTTCAATTTCCCATCAGACTAGCATTTGCCCTCACTATTAATAAGGCTCAAGGACAAACATTAACAACCACCGGTATATATTTACCCCTATCTGTTTTTACACATGGACAACTCTATGTGGCACTTTCGAGATGCTCTAACCCCAACAACTTGAAAGTTCTAATACTCGATAACCCAACACAAATACGACCAACACTCTTCCCTAACTCTCCATTTTCAGCACCAGATGGATCCTACACAAGAAATATTGTATTTAAATCAGCTTGGTAACCCTTAATCCATTTACACTACATCCCCCATTACACTGCATTCCTTTATCATTTACAAACACTCATCTTAAGAATAAATTATATTAACACAAGGGCAATTCGCTAGTAAATTTAAAAGAGGAAGAAGCAGAGCGAAAGAAAAAGATCAGAAAGACAGAAGAAAAAAGATCAGAGCAAGACACCCAAAAAACGATCCGAGTAAGACACCCAAAAAAACGATCCGAGTAAGACATAGAAAAAAAAATCAGAGCAAGACACAAAAAAAAAAAGATCAGAGGAAAACACAAACGAAAAGATCAGAGTAAGTAAGATACAGAAGAAAAAAAAGATAGAAACATCAGAAACAGAGATGATTCAGAGTGCGTAAGTCACGTTACAGGGGTAAGTTCAGAGATTCCTATAGTATTTTTAACATTTACAGCATTTTTAACTAACACAGTGTGTCATAATTTGAAGGCACATGTCATGAAAGCATAATACGTAAGGCTAAGTTAAAATCCACGTCTGAATTGAGTCCGCACCGTCACAACCCCTTAATTAGAGACGGACTCCTTTCCAATGACACGAACAATCCAGAAGAAATGCACCCTCGAACTCCAGCTGAAGCAATGATTGAAAGAGCCGACATTGAAGGATCAAAAGTAACATCGCTATGAACGCTTAGCTGCCACAAGCCAGTTTGCTCTAATCGCATCACTTGAATGCTTAAGTAATGACAAACAACAAACTACCCTTAACTTGCATCCCAGAACAAAGAAAAAAAGGGAACGAGTTTTCATAACCCGGCCGCCAGGACATACAGTGTGCTCCAAAACTGTCTACATGCATCTATGTTTTTTACTTTTCCCCAAATAAAACGACAATGAACAATAGAATCCATCCCAAGCTTAACGTAGACAATATGTAAACCAATGGAGAAGACCCTGCTTGAATGGAAAGGAGGCGTCATTATCTCCACAGAGATGGCATGCAGTTTTCGGTAATCACTCATATAGACAGTTTTGGAGCAAGGGCTAAAATAATTGATATTTGTTGTTCATTCGGCATATGGCTATCAAAACTAGTATCGCGTCTGTCTCCCGCGGGCTTTATTGACGGCTGCCAGTCTGTTTGGCATGCTCCTGATGAGGTTTCGACAAAACTCGACTGGAAGCTTGTACCATTCAGCCGCGATGCGTCTCCACAGCTTGTCGGCCTTATCAAGTACTTTCCCAGCTGGATCTTCAAATACTTCCACATGTGTTCGATCGGGTTGAGATCAGGAGACTGTGCTGGCCAGTTCAAAAGCGTTCCCTCCTCCTCTGTCAAGTCCACTGATTTCAAGTACGCTTTGGTGACCTTGGCGGTATGCTTCGGATCATTGTCATGCTGAAAGACCAACTCGTCTCGGGCGAGGTTTCATTCGTCAATAGACATTTGCAGGTCCTCCTGGAGAATCTGAATATAGAGTCGTGAGTCCAGAGTCTCATCGATCTTGGCAATGTAGCCGGGTCCGTTCCATGACATGCGCGACCGTACCGTCACACTTCCACCTCCAAATTTAACGGTACCTTGAACTGAGCGCTAGGTTACCGGACTCGGGGCATCATCCCAAACCCACTGAAGACCGTCAGAGCAGATCCTGTTAAGCTTGGACTCATCCGACCAGATAACCCGTGCCCAATCGTTTACAGTCCATTCCTTATACTTTTTGACAAACTGCATCCGCCCTTGTATATGCTCTGGTTTAAGTGCCGGTCTCTTGACCTTCCTTTTTGCAATCAATCCTGCTTCTCTAAGCCTCCGTCGAATAGTTGACGTCGAAACTGGAACTGGAAGGAGTTTGTTGGCTCTGTCCCTGTCCTCCTTTGCGGTTTTGAAAGTCCCACGCAACATGTTGACCTTGAAATACTCAACGGTTTCAGCCTGCGTCTTCCTGGGGCGACCGCCTTTGTTGATGGGCATGTTCTCCTTGTTTTTTGCATAGATCTTGCCAGCTATTACATGGGATATGTTGAGTCGAAGGGCTGTCTCCCTGGTCGAAGTTCCTGCCAACATCAGTCCAATGGCTTTCTGAGTAATGCGCTTTGGTGTGGATCTCATATCTTGTGTGGATGTAGTGCAGAAGGTAAAGGGTAGAAACAACAAAAAAAATAAAAGGATGCTGCTTGTATTTATACGTAGGATACAAGGTCTACCTCACATGGTTTTTGGAGAAGGCTCCAAAACTGTCCACATGAGAAGGTGCTTGAATATACCCCACTGTCATAGTACAAAACACCGTTTCGATCTGTAATTGTGATGTCATTGACAATAGTGCAAGATGTTTCTGAAAATGCAATCTTGATGTAATTAAAGCATTACTTACTCCACAATAAGAAAAACAAGAAACGCATCTTAAACATGTAGTTTTGGAGCACACTGTAAGTTAAACCGCCCTTAACTAAACCGCCTGAAAGAAAGAAAAAAAAAGAAAAAAAAGAAAGAGAGAGAGGAGATGTTGTTCTTTCGAACAAATCTATAGAACAATGGGCTTAATCTCAGCAGATCGTAGCAACAAGGCTACTCTACTGCTTACAATACCCCGTTCAATTAAAGTCGTCTGCAATGGATTTATCTCTTCCAATATTTGAAATTAACATTAGCAGGAACCTCACAAAGCCTTTCCGCTCTGCAAGATAACCCCACGTAGTATGATTCAGGATCCGAGGATCTATTCGTATTCAACTAAAAATCGGAAAAGGCGGTAATCGTCGCGTTCTAGCACGGGTTCTGACTTAGAGGCGTTCAGCCATAACCCAACGGATGATAGCTTCGGGCCATTGCCTGCTCAGGCAGGCCCAAATACCAATTATCCGAATGAACGGTTCCTCTCGTACTAAGTTCAATTACTATTGCAACAACATTTCATCAGTAGGGTAAAACTAACCTGTCTCACGACGGTCTAAACCCAGCTCATGTTAATCCAACGCTTACTGAATTCTGCTTCAGTATGATAGGAAGAGCCGACATCGAAGGATCAAAAAGCAACGTCGCTATGAACGCTTGGCTGCCACAAGCCAGTTATCCCTTTCTCTCCCACCGGAGACAGCACTCAGAAGATCACAGTGTATTTACGGTCTATCGACACAAGCTCTCCTACACCCCTTGCAGAGTTTCACTCTGATAAGGTTACACTAACCTATGACGCCACCAACATTTCTAGACTTTTCTTCCCTCTGATTACTAATCAAAGCTACGCCTCATAGAAACCTCTAGAAACCCAACACGACAACTATCTAGCATTCACTCACGTATAAATTCCCCAACCAACACCTAGATAGCCCCTTAGTTTTAAACTCACCTTTTTATTAAAAACAACTTCCAAAGCACAATCGTCCTTCGTCCCTCGTCCCTCATTCCTCGTTCCTCGTCCCCTCGTCTTGTTGCACCCCTTCCTCCTGCATTTCTTTGGTTCAAGCGGTAACACCTGCTAATTCGGCACTGCGTGCCTTAGTATACCACTCCATAGCCTTGCCGTCGTCCTGCTAAACACCTCGACCAATACGATACATGAAACCGATGTTGAACATGGCACTGGCATTTCCAGCATCGCTTGCTTTGAGGTACCACTCCATAGCCTTGCCGGCGCCCTTCTCAACACCTCGACCATCGTCGTACATGAAGCCGATGTTGAACATGGCACTGGCATTTCCAGCATCGCTTGCTTTGAGATACCATTGCAGAGCCTTGCTGTAGTCCTGTTCTAGGTAATCACCACTATAATACGTATCACCAATTTGGGGATTGGTAGCTGCTGTCCCGACGTCTAAGGCGTTCCTGAACCACTCCATTGATCTTCTGTGATGTTCTGCAACTCCAGCATCGTGATGAACTCGAATAGCGTTTAAATTCGATTCAATTCGACCGCTGAGAAAGTCTGGTCAGTCTTCTGGTTTTGCTTGGAAATAACAACTACATTTTTGTTCACTCCCTCTTTTGAATTTGGCACTACCCACGCCCTAGCCATCACATCGCTGCTTTTGTGTAATAGGAATTTCCATTAGAATAATCATCCCATAGGTTCCAACAACCTCAGTCTTCGGTATAACAACTCGACAACAACGAGAAAGTCAATGTAGAGGAGTCAGTTTTATTCTATGAGACAAAGGGCCGCGCTGCGCCTAACCAGATCATAATATGGGAATACAAGATAAGCCTTCCGCATGAATATGATCATGGCATTCCAGGCGTAAATTTCTTAACGCTGACATACAGTCACTCCCGATTAGGCAAACAAATTGGGACATCCGTTTTCCCATTGAGTGGAGGGGATGCCGCCTTTGCCCCAGGAGACACTGTTCACCCATTGCGCATTGTTGATCTGGCTGTTGCTTTCGAGGGTTTGGAAGTTTCCAGTGCAGTCTTTGGTGGAGAAGAGTCTGATAACTCCTCCGTTTTCACCTCGAATCGAAGCGGTTTGGGTGTTGGATAGACACTCACACCACCGGGCATCAGATTCAGCACCAATCCAAGTTCCTTTACCGGCGTTGTTATAGATGTGAAGGAGGGTGCTGGAGGATTGGACACCAAGGACCAAGGTCGAGCAGACCGTGAATAACACTGCGAGTACTTTGTGCATTTTCAAAAAGATTCTATCAAATAGGATGATATGACAACTTTGGATCAGATTTCAAGGATTTTTGTGAAATTGTAGCTTAAGAGGTATGGTTGCTAGGGTTAACTTACTGGACAGAGGTGATGTTGAGAGGCGAGATGAGTTCCCAAAGAGAAATAAGTGTTGTATTTATGCGAAAAATTATTGGATTAGTTGAGAGCGCATTGGAGTGAAAGGTTAGAGGCTATGTAATCGAAGCATGCACTAATGAGACGCCGCACTTTTTTCCAAACTTGAAAATGTAAGCGCCGCACTTTTTTCCAAACTTAAAAATGTAAGCGCCGCACGTTTTTCCAAACTTAAAAATGTAAGCGCCGCACTTTTTCCAAACTTAAAAATGTAAGCGCCGCACTTTTTCCAAACTTAAAAATGTAAGCGCCGTCTATCCCAACTACATGAGCTCTCTTAGCATCTTGTCTCTTACCTGGTAGTACAGGATTTTTAGGCTTGTATTCATTGAAACATTTGGACAGACGACTATATCGTATCCACACTGCATTCACGCCGCATCCACCCAGCACCTGTCGGATCAATTATCACAAAGAAAAACAAGAAAAAACGGCCATTCACCATCGACCATGGAGAGCAATTGATGCAAATGCTCTCTGCTTCACTAGTCCTAAAGGTTTGAAAATGTTGCTAGACTACATGGCGAGCTCGACACTCTCTCGTCCTTTATAATTAAACAAATCAACTATTGTTTATGAGGTGGAGTCCGCTGTTTTAGCGTCGTGTTGGCTCCTCGCCTGCTCTAAGACTTTATATAATACGGGTGTAGTGAAATAAATTGCAAGTGTACTTTTATTCAGCGGAGCCGAAGATATGAAAGCTCAAGCCTATTATCCGAGGGCCAGGACCATATACATGTGTAATCTTCTTTTATTGTAATAAATGCGAAAATCCAGAAAACTAAAACGAAAGTGAAAAGAAAAGAGAAAATAAATTCTGCTCAGGCACCAAATCTGTTCCTCATCTTCGTAGAGCGAGCCAGGGTGCCAGGAGACAAAAAGGGTGGGAGAAAAATCCAAGGGCGGGACATATATGGATTTAGAGCAGAAGTTATGACAAAACTAACGACGTGAAATTGGTTGCTGTCGCTCGACTCAGCCGATAGTAGTTGTTGACAATCACGTCGGAGGACCAGTTGCCGTGAACGACCACGTCATCAACGCGGGCGCCCGCGTTGATGGCCGCTGTAGGACCAATAGCGCGGGCCTTGGGTCTAGTCTCGTCCTTGGGCAGGTTGAGCATGTCGGTAATCTCAGCGATATGGTTGCTGATCGTCTGGTTGATGACTGGGGTCTTGGGGGATCGCACGTCACGTATGAGAGGGCGATAAAGAAATTCTTTGTTCTTGTGGTGAGGGACCATGATCTCGTGTTCCTCCAGGCGACGAAGGTATTCGGCGATGGCGCGTACCGGGAAAGGAGAGGATCATCGTAACTCCTGATCGCGGGATACTTGATAATCTGTTGTCCACCTCGTGTTTCCTTCGGAAAAAACACGGGGATCTTGCAGGATACTTCGGTCAGTTCAAACTTGGGCTGGCAAGATTAATGGACCAGATATCGCTTGGTCGAAGAAACCCAACCGTGCCCAGGAGCCAGCACACCTTCTTGGTTAGAATGGATATGCCAAGGGTTTCATTGGGGCCTTGCTGTCGGAAAAAATCGAGGATTGGTCGAAGATCAATGTCGATCTCCTTCATATCCTTGATCGTCCGTTCCTGGATAGCCTTGAAGTAGGAAAGGAAGTCCGGGTCCAGAAAGGGTGTCTTGTCGTCGTACATATATATGATCGGCGCCTTGTAGTTGTTGACCGTGCTTGCTTGCCAATTCTGAACGAGAACGCCAGCCGTGAGCCAGTTGAGTAATTGAGCCGGGTTAGGTTGTTGTGGATCGAATCCTCGGTTTTTAACCCAGCTGATATACCGTTCCTGGATGTTGCTGTAACGTTCCTGCTTGCGTTGCTCTCGTGGGTTGTCAAGTACTAATGATGCGGTTGCTTCATCCCATCCTTTATCCTCGAGACGGCGCCGCTTATTCGCCATGCTGTCAGGGACCAGTGAGGGTTCTTGGCCAGTATGTCGGGGGCGTTTCCGGGAGCTGGAAGGACATGGTGTCGAGGTATCGGAATGGGAGGTGCTACGGACATCGATCTAATTGTTGGGTACCAAACTGCTGAGGGCCAATGAGGTGTTACAAACGTTGCTGTGATCTGTTCCTGTTGAAGCTTCTGTAAGATTAGCGGGAGCAAGTTCCATGGTAGGCAGATGTAGATGTTGCCCAGTGGTTGCCAGTTGTGCTGTAGAGCGTCGTGACCGATTGCGCCTGGTGATGGCTTCCAGGTCATGTATTGTTGTAGGTGGTGGTTGATGGGAGAGGCGAAGAGATCGACGGTATGGGGTCCCCACTCTTGATCCATGCGATCGAAAAATGATGGACTGATTGACCATTCGAGTTGGCCTGTCAGTTGACGAGATGGAGCGTCCGCTGGGTTGAACGCTGAGGGGACGTATGTGGTCCGAATCCTGGTTCCGGTCTGGAGGCACCAGTTCCATATCGATGTCGCAAGTTCCATCAGCTCCGGTGACCTCGTTCCGCCGAAGTGGTTGATGTAGGCGATCGTCGTGATGTTGTCCGAGATGATGTTGACTGTGCGACCCTTGACCTCCGGTCTCCGCAGGCATAGAAGACCATTAACAACTCCTTGTAGTTGATGTGTCGTGGGTAGTGAGTTTCCGACCATGTGCCACTGTACGATCGGTTGTTGATCACCACTCCCCAGCCGGATGTCGAAGCGTCCGTGTATATGTCGGTCTGTGGATTGGCAACTATCCACGATAGGCCGTTCCACTGCTGCAGGTGTGTGCACCACCAAAGGAGCTCTTCGGTGGCTGTCGTCGGGAGAGATACGGAGCCCTCCCATGATATTCCCGATTTCAGTGCATTTATCTTCACTGCCTGAAGGTGCTGCACTTTCAACCGAGCTTGAAATACTGCTGCTGTCATGGCTATCGCCTTGCCGATAAAGGACGACAGTTGTCTGACTGAGCAGGTTGCTTTGTTGATCAGCGTCGACGCCTCGTGTCTCATATCGCGAATTTTGGTTCCCGGAATCCTCAGTGTCATCGCTACTGTGTCGATTTCGTACCCCAGATGCTGTAGTTTCTGGGATGGTGTCAAACTCGACTTGGACTCCTTTGTCAGAAAACCCAGACTGGCCAGCTTTTCTGCCACCATTCTGGTATGCTTCCTCGAGAGTTCCTCTGTTGCCGCTGCAATGATCAGATCGTCGAGGTAGGCTGGTATCCTGATCCCGCGAGTTCTCGCCCATCGTAGCAATGGTTTCAGAACCTTGGTGAAGATGAGTGGAACTAAGGATAGACCGAATGGTAGTACCTTGAACTGGTACAGCTTCCCTCGCCATTGGAATTGTAGGTAACGTTTGGAAGAGGGGTGATGTCGCGTCGTTCCCTATGATAAGTCGATTTTTGGCATGATCGGTCGACCCTTGGCACGATCAGTTGACACTTGGGCGCAGTTGAATGAGCCCAAGACAATTAATTAGCATTGCTCACAATCACATATATATATTCCATAGTACCCCAAATAGTTTGATCCTTACCTAGTAACTTGAATAATACTTTGTCTACACCTTGAAAACCCATATCTGACTCCCTATTCCCTTTGTTCTCTTCCTCCACCTCTCTTCCTGATCCTGCCTAAGAAAAGGTCAACTCTGCCTTGTTCTAGTCTAGATTCTCGACACATGTTTTGTCTTGGGCATGAATTTGGTTAACCATTTTGTTCGCACCAAGATTACCAAGGGAGTGAACCTCAGCCATGAGAGAGTGGCGGTCTTTTGCTGCGACGGTGAATCGAGGAACCGATTTGTCTTGAAGCATGTGAATGTAACCGTACACTTTGATTGGTGTTTTTTGTTTAGGTCGATCAGTCCAGAGTTTCTGAGGAAACTGACGCGATAACGCATCTGGCAACACATTGAGTACACCAGGGCGGTATACAATGTTAAATGAGTAGGCCATGATGGTATCAAACCAAGTTGTCATCATTGGGTTCAGATCTTGCTGTGAGTGAAGAAAAGTGAGAGCCCGATGATCGGTGAACAAAGTAAAATGGTAACCCCAAAGATACTGATGGAATTTTTTCAAAGCAAAAACAATCGCTAGTAACTCCTTCTTAGTAGCGGAGTATTTTCTCTCTCGGTCTTGCAGAGTGCGTGCCATAAAAGAAATGTAGTTGACGTTCGCGGGAACGGACTGCATATCCTTCGGTTCGGGTACACCTTCCGGCAACTGATACAGAACTGCACCAATTCCAACATTGGACGCGTCCGTCGCAACGTAGAACGGCCGACTGAAGTCTGGGAAAGATAACACGGGAGCTCGCACAAGCAGTTCCTTGAGTCCATTGAAAGAATCCATTTCATCTTTTGATAATTTAAATGTTCCTTCTCTATGACGAAGCGCTTCAAGGGGAGCAGCAATGGTACTGTAGAGAGGGATGTATTCACGGAAGAAATTGAGCGTTCCCAGATACGACTGCACTTGCTTAGCAGTGGTAGGTGGAGCCCATTCGTGAATGTTAGCTAACTTAGTGGGGTCGACTTTCTTTCCAAAGAGATCGACAATGAATCCCAGCAGAGAAATCTGTGTGCTGAAGAAATTACACTTGCTCTTGTTGATGATCAATTTTGCTTCAAGTCTTTCGATCACACATTTAACATGAGCTTCATGTTCTTCTCTGCTTTTCGAAAATATCACAATGTCATCGATAAAGTTCAACACAAAAGGTAGATCGCCGAGAATGCGAGACACACCTCTTTGGAACAGACTCGAGAGCGGCTTCAAACCAAAGGGAGCCTTTTTGAACATGTACTGTTTACCTTCGTGCATGAAAGCAGTAAGGTGTCTGTCCTCTTTGTGGATAGGTAGACGATGGTACGCCTGTGTGAGGCCGATGGTGCTGTAGATGGAGTGACCAGCTACTTTTTGCATGATCTCGGAGATGAGAGGGAGAGGGAAATTATCCTCTGGTAAATGTACATTGAAAGCGCGAGGGTCAAGACACACTCGCCACAATGACTTTTTCCCATCCAAATCCTTTTTAGCTGCAAGGGTGAGGGTGTTGTTATGTGGGTTGCATGCTGGTGCAAGCTCAATAACATCATCCTCTAACCAGCGTGCGACCGTCTCATCCAAGATGGGTCTCTGGGAGTGAGCGAATTGTCTAGGTCGTCGATATACAATGGTACCTTTCGGAACAGGTAGATACACCATCATCTCAGGAACGGGACAGTGGCTTGTCTTTGAGATATTTTCATTGTCTTTGAGTGCTTTGCTGATGGCATCCAGGAATCTTCCTTTCATGCGCTTAAAATCAGCAGTGAGTTCCTCTTCAGGGGTAGTAATCGGACGCAAAGATGGTTTCTCGTCTTCAACGGGAACATCATGTGCGGGTGACATCTCTTTTATGTCTGGGAGACCACAGAGAGCGAAACCCATATGATAAAAGAGATCCATTCCGATTGTAAGAGCAAACTCTTGATCTCCGATAATTTCAAAAGGGGCAGAGAGGAACCGACCATTGAACTCAAATTCAACTTGATCAGTTACTCCAATGCGTTCAACAGTAGACTTGTTTGCTAGTGTAAAATTACCAGGGATCTTAGTGAAAGGAATGTTATGGTCCTTGACTATATCCTGTCTGATAAAAGAATGTGTAGCACCAGTATCGATCAGCGCATGGTATGTCCTTTTGAATGCACGGATTTCAATTCGAAATCTGTTGTCGTGTTCTACTGCATCCTTAATAGCAACATAGTGTCTGATAGTAAACTTGTCAGATGCGAAGGTGTCGAGTTCCTCCGTCGTCATACCAATACTACTGTCGTTGTCACTGTGGTCGTCCATGTTAACCTGACTTTGAGCAGCAAGGTTAGACAAACAAGCAAAAGACGGTTCTTTTGTTTCAAAGTATGGCACAGAGACAACGGCAGGTTGTTTTGGTGGCAACGAGCGAAACGCATACTGGGGTCGTGCACTTGTAGGTGCAGGTACCTCCATAGTAGTTTTAACTGATTGTTCGCTATCAGATAAAGGGGTTACAGACAAATCATTTTCTGTAGTCACAGACACATTATTTTCTGTAGTTGAAAAAGTATGCACAGCCAGTGAGGGAGACAGAATTGGACCAAGAGGGATAGTGTTAGAACCAGACAATGGTAATTTTTTATTACTAGGTTCTGTTATGACAGGAGAGAGAAGTGATTCTTCTCTTGACTTGGCTCTTGTCTTGTCGGTCATTTCTTTGGTGTCCTCAGGTTCGCTTGTCTGTAAAGAAATAGTAGCATGAGTAAGAAAGGTGTGATCAGACACAGACAAAATTTCAGACTCAGAAAAAGGAGGCATAGACAATTTACCTTCTGTCTTGTTCTTGTAGCTCTTGCCGCCCTTGCTGTCAAAGTTCTTCTTGCGATCACTATTACAGTAGGGGGCAGTGTGGCCATTTTTGTTGCACTTGGTGCAGTGCCTGCAATTCTTGGTATTATGCGAGTAATTCTCACCGTGATTATCACAGTGGTAAGTCTTCTTGCCGGAACTAGACGAAGATGGGGACGAGGACGAATCGGCAGTTGGCTTGCCTTTGCCATGGCGGTCGTTCTTGCGGTGACGCTGTTGCTTGTGACCATGGTTGTTACTGTTATTGGTCTTGGACGAGGAGGCATCCTTCTTGTCGTCTTCATCATCGTCGATGAGACTGTGGGGTCTCTTGAGAGAGTCGTCTGGTCCTTCCATGGCGCTAAGGGCAGTGAGGAGCTAGGTGATCGAGTCCAACCTAACCTCGGACAGAGAGGTACCGGCCTTTTGAATCGAATTCTTGATGAGGTTCAGTTCCATCGAAGGGATAGAGCCCATAATGCCAGAGAGGACGGTGGTGTTGCCATCGTCAATACGATACACACGGACAGATCGCTGGAGACGTAGTGCAAAGTTGCGGTAGGATTCCTTGTTGCGACGACCTGTCTCTGCAACGCGAGCGACGGTGAGGGAACGTTCTTTTGGAGTCAGAACGCTGTCAACAAATGCAACTTCACACTCCTCCCATGTGAGAGAGGAGCTGCCATGCCGAGCCAGTTCATCGTTGAACTGTTGACGGGTCTGCTCGTCCAGGATGGCCATGCAAAGGAGGCGCTGAGCGCTGGCGAGAAAAGGCGTCTCGCCGTAGCTATTTTCGCAGTAGGTCTTGAAGCTGTCTAAGAACAGGTGAGGGTCACGGATGACCTGAAAAGACTGTCCCTTGCCATGCTTGGCATCACCGAAACGGGGCGTGCCCATGTCCAGTGACAATTTGGTGTTGTCAACCTTTGCCGCGGCAGCAGCAGCAGAGGCCGGCGAGAGGATGGGGTCTGTTACCAGAGAACCCAAACTCAAAGCTGCAGCAAAAGAGGCGTGCTCTTTTTCTTTCTGTCGCACGATCTTGGCAAGATCGGCGCACTCTTGCAGCCAGCTGGCATATTCAGAGTGGTCAATGGAGGTCTTCGCAACCCTGAGCACAGAATGACGGTACGCTTTCGTCCATTGCGCTAGACTATGGCGCTTGGATAGCAATACGTCTTGCAGGTCAGTCGTCAAATCGACATCGCCATTGTAGTCCGAATCAGACATGATTGAGAAGAACTTCAGATCGGGTTCTTGAGCGGCGGAGATGGGATGATCGTCCATAGAGGGTAAAGGATCGCTTAGGTCCTGGTCGGCCATTTCGATGTCCTCGGGAATAGGAGCAGAGGACGAAGATGAGGTGACGACAAAGGCGTCAGTGGCGTTGATGTCCAGTTGTTGAAGAGCGGGGAACTCGGCGTTGTTGTTGTAGGTAGTAGTCTCGTTGGACATGATGTGGGATGCTTGTAATGAGTGTGTGTGAGTGAGGTATTGGAGTGATGAGCGGGGAGAAAAGTCGAAGAGTCTGTTCGAAAAGTTTTTTTTCCGTTCTTGTTCTCCAAGGTAACAGCCTGTCTTTTTAAACAATCCTTTTCTGTTGCCTACGATCACTAAATAAACGCAGAAACATTCACTCACGTTGTCATAGTAGAGTCTCGTCAATAGGGACGTACTACTCAGCGCGTACATCTGTTCAGACCGTATGGCTTGATGGGTGTACTTTGATCTAGTAAAGATCTAGCAATATGTCCTAGATCAAGGACGAAAACAAACATCTCTTTTCATCACCAAATCTTTGGAACGCGTGGCATCGTAAAGGTACCATGCTCAAGGGTGCATCGTAGCTCAGTAGCATGTCATGCGGTGACACTCAAGGTCGTTCCGTCCGATATGCTATTGTGCGGGAGTATATTTTATCCATAGGGAAAGGAAATAACTAGATTAAGTTATTTGCGAGTCATGCGTGTGCCTTGTGTGAATGGGTCACCTGTATTCTTGTCAGGGGTAACATGATGAGATGTGTGGGCAAGTTGTGCGTTGATACACAAGGCTTGAGTCATGAGGGAGAGAGAAGTACAACAATTCAAGAGAGAAAACAAATTGATCTTGACAAAACAGCTACTATTCAGTTCTTTTATTTAGAGTTGTGTGTAACATCTTGGTATTACTGATCTTGTTGTGGCGACACAACTTGCTGTTGTTTCCGTCAGAAATTCTGAGTGAAAGGAAGAGCATTTTATTCTTCGCTGTTATGTGCATGTGTTAAAGACCGCTGCTAATGTACGCTAACTGCTCTTCGGTCATATCCGAGGGTGACATAAGTTCGAGATTGCGTCTAACAGTTCTGGGTGATGGGGGTGCAAATTGCGAGATGAACGATTTTTCTCTCGCTACTTGGTTGGTCATGAGGCCGACCAGTGGACCATGTGTGTAGTTGTTGGTCCTGAGGTAACCATAGTCATCGAAGAGGTGACCACGTTTTACTGCGAACTCGAACTGTTGGATGAGCTCCTGAACCGACGCAATGTGCTTGTCGAGTCGTAGGGCGTGTTCTAGTAGCGATGTGTACACGCGATCGTGCATGAGGTTGAAGTTGTCAATGTCCTCCAGATCTTGTCCAAGAGGGATATCGAATGCACCGAAGGCGTCACACAAGTAGCTTGCTCGTTGGGCAAGAACGGCAGTTCTTTCTGACTGCAGCCGCAGGTAGACGGATTGTAGATTGTTGAGGGCCGTGTTCCGGATCTCGGACTCGTCGGTTGGCATCGTCCACTGTGTTGGTTTTGCGTGGCGTTCCAGGTCGACCCTGAGCGTCCTACGTGTCAGGCGTTGTTGGGCGTTGTAGGGAGCAGCGGCTGCCCTCACCGTGGGTGATGCTGCTGCTGGTGGTGTTGTTGTTCTTGTGGCTTCAGTAGATGCCCTGCCGTTTCTCCTGTTCTCAATATCTCCAATGTTGATGGGGGCAAGTGGAGGGCGAGAAGGGCTGGTGCTGGACTCAGCAGGTGAGGAGTGAGAAGATTTGGACATTGTTGTGGACGGGAGAGAAAAATGTGAGAAGTGGAATGGAAGTGTGTTTGGCAGATGGAGAAGAAAATGGGCATTCTCATGCTCTTTTCATCTTCATATATGTTTTCTCGATTCCATTCTCTCCCTCTCATGTGGATCACGTTTCAGCTATGTCCATTGCCATTGGGTCATGCAAGGTGCATTGTTAACAAGATTCAGGCAAGTCAGAGCCACATGATTATGCGTTTTATTGTCTTGTTTTTCTTTTCGTCATTCTGATTGGTCCAAGCTTTGGTATTCATGACTGGGTGGTGTTGTGTTGATGAAGGTCGTTCAGTCTTTGAGGTGCGCTTTCATCTGTGGGTTGTCCCGAACATTGTTCCCGTTGTCATGATGATGGTGTGCAGGAGTGAAATTGCGTAAGGTGTGTGATAGAGAGAACAATCAGCCCTGTTCCTCCCCTTTTTCTCAGGTCATCTGCTATTGGTTCATGCATGAATCACGCAATCTCTCACAAAAACATAGCGAACGATGACATCGTCCTTTGTTTTCACCATCATGTGACACTAATCGTTAGTGGAGATCTTACCTGTGGTAAGGATTAATCTCTGCTCAAGCATCGTAGTTGATGCGAGGTCGTGCTTTCGATACCATAGAGTATAAGCAGTGGTGGTGCCAGTGTTTTCAGACTGGAGTGGTGCCAGTGGTGAGACGGTGCTCTGTCAGCTGCATCGCTGCATGGCTGACCTTCCATTCGGTGATGGGAGTGCATTCACTTATTCCTTTCGTTTTTTTTTTTTTTTTTTTTTTTTAAAGAAGAGTGAATGCGTGTAGGGGTGTGTGAAGTGGGGAAGATCCCTATTGTGAATTCGTTAAGAAAAATGGAAAATAATAACAGGGGTTGTGATAAGCAATGAGGTTATGAGGAAAATGGAATAACGAAACAAAGAGAGGGATCTGTTTTTCAGGGACGAAGAGTGCTTATGTACTCTTCGTCCCTTATATAACACGTGATTATAGCTCAGGAGCGCTTCCTGCTGGAAAGGTACATTTTGTGCCTTGAGCACGAAGAGAAATTCTTTTCCATCAAACGGTGCTCTCAAGCCATGGACAGCTCACAAAAGCAGTCGAATAAACACTCATATTTGGTGAAGGCTCTCTGTGTTCTCAGCCAGAAATAAGAAATGGGCGAATCGGAGCGCTTCCTGCTGGAAAGGTACATTTTGTGCCTGTCTCCTCCCAAGTCTGGGAATCAAAGTTCCCTCCCACCCTCGGGGATTGAAAATGACCCATTTAAACTCAAGTGTCACACGCTCTCTGTGAAGAAAAACCAATCAATTTTGTTTGATTTGTTTTGTTGGGTTAATGCAAATCTTCCGAATGCTTCCAAAATGCCTCCAAGTTGCGCTGCGTACGTGATATTCATGCATGCCTTCAAAGTTTAAGCTATGCCTCCAGATTATAATTTATTTTCTTTGGGATCTCGTTTATTATACCTGTGGCCCAATGTTGCGTGGCAGTATAGACACATGAGAGTTTTGTTCGTAGTGATTGTCGTAGGAGCTGTGCCATGGCCCTCGGGTACCATTGATACAACTCATTGCAACCTAGGCTCTCTGGTGCTCCGCTACCTTTGCACATTGCTGGATTAGGCGTCAATATGGATTCTCTTGTGCTCTGGCACCCAAAATAACACCGGTATCGCTGCATTATGCTTTTGTCAGACGACAGAGGGCAATAGAAAGCGCACAATTTAGGAAATAGAGAAGAAGATCGACTAGAAGGAAGGGCGATGCCTCCAACCTACCCACCAGCCCTCATCAGTCTGCCTTTGATGGTGCATTCGACATGCCTTCAAAATAATAATAATAAAAAGAGGTTGCAAAGAAAAATAAGTTATAGTTTGGAGGCATACATGAATAACACGTACGCAGCGCCAATTAGAGGCGTTGGAGGCATGCCTCCATGATCACTTTACCGCTAGACTAATTAATTTATTTCGGCATAACACGACTCCCGCCTTTGCATATGTCACGCTGAGAATTTAGAGTGAGTAGTCTACCGCTCACGGTGTTGGGGCGGTGAGTGCACTTTTCTAATGAACATTGGTGACAACTGGTACTACCAAAACATCTTTTTCTCATTATGTACATGTTTTGAAGAAGAAAGCACTCCCATTCTGAAAAGCTTATCCAAGGATCTTCGACTTTAAAATCGAAAACTAAAAAGTCACTTGTGTGACTAGATGTGTGACTAGATGTGTGACTAGATGTGTGACTATTTTACAGTTGTATAAAAAAGACTATCCTTTGACCTGGCCCTTTCAGCGCCACCTCTTACAGCCGTAAGTCACCACAGCCACAACAAGCCATGTCTTTCTTCAAGTCCTCTAAGAAGCAGTCCACCACTGTCCCTGCCCCTGCCTTAGCTCATGGCCCTGCCCCTGCCTTAGCTCATGGCACTGCCCCTGCCTCAGCTCATGACCCTGCTCCTCCGCCATACTCCCCTCAAGGCCCAGCACAAGAGAAAGTCCCCAAACAAGCACCCAAGATGACCGAGCAAGAGGCGTTTTCATCACTCATTAATCTAGCGTATGGTGCACCGGATAAGGATATGAACCTAGGATCAGCCCTTGCCATTTTTTAAATAATATTGGCTTCCTTAAAGAGTCCACTTAAAAAATGGAAATGGGATTCAGTGGAAATACTGCATTTTTCCTGTGAGATACAGTGCAAACCATCTAGTCAGGGTTAATTTTTTCAGTAAAATAGTCTCCGTCTTGTGAGCCTCCAACTATTCCCTCTTGCGTACTGGGTGAAATCATCATCATCATCTAATATTACAAAATCGTTGCGTCCATCACCTGATGGAAAATAATAACCGGAGTTGTGATAAGCAATGAGGTTATGAGGAAAATGGAATAACGAAACAAAGAGAGGGATCTGTTTATTCAGGGACGAAGAGTGCTTATGTGCTCTTCGTCCCTTAGATAACACGTGATTATAGCTCAGGATCTCCTTCTTTAGCGCGGCGGTAGTGCTCAAACATCCGGGTGCTCCATTCTCTACTGCTTGTTGCCGTCGACGTTCCAGGCCGAGAGCGACCACATTGGATTCCTCTCGAGGATGTGTGGACTGTTCCCTGGAGCTGGTAAGACTTGGTTCCTCGGGATCCGTAGAGGCTTGTCGACCGACATGGCTGTGATCATAGGATACCAGAGCGCGCTCGTCCAGAATGGAGTGATGACCGTTGCCTTGACCTTGTCCTGCTTGATCTTCTGGAGGACCTTGGTGATTAGCGACCACGGTGGACACGCATAAACTCTGTTCATATTGGACCAGCTGCTGTTGAACGCGTCCTGTCCCCAGGCGGTTTCCTCCCGCTTCCATGAGATGTATCGAGGAACTTTGGCGTTCGTTGCTGTTGCGAATAGGTCGATGTGGTGGTGACCCCATGTCGACTCGAGGGTTTGGAAGAATGACTTGTCGATCGACCACTCCAGCTGCGTCGTCATCCTCCTGGACGGTGCATCTGCTGGATTGAACTGTGAGGGAACGTATGTCGTCTTGAGTCGTGTGCCCGTTGCCATGCAGTGGTTCCATATCCTGCTCGTCAGGTCGAGTAGTGGCCGAGACCTCGTCCCGCCGAATTTGTTGATCTGGGCAATGGTTGTCATGTTGTCGCAAATAACATGAATGGTCTTCCCGATCGTTTCTGGAAGGTGGACCAAGTGCCAGATGACCCGCAGCTCCTTCCAATTGATGTGGTGTGGTTGTTCCAATGCGCTCCATGTCCTGGACATATCCTTGTCCTCGATCACAATCCCCCATGCGTCCTCCGAGGCATCGGTGTATGCGTCGACTTCCGTCCTCTGAGGTAAGAATCCTTGACCGTTCCACTCCGAAAGATGATATCGCCACCAGCTGAGATTCTCCAGTGCCGCCGTGTCCAATGTAACTGGATCCGTCCACTTGCATTTCTTGGCCAGAGCTGCATTCTGAACCTGAATCAGATTCCTCGTCCTCAGTCGAGCCGGAAAGACCGCCACCGTCATCGCGATCGCCTTCCCGATAAATGCCGCCAGCCGCCGAAGTTGAACCGTCCCTGCTCTGATCAGCTTCTCCGCTTCCCTGCGCAGGTCGCGGACTTTTGGCCTTGGAACCGTCAGTGACATGGTGTCGGTATTGATCCTGAACCCAAGATGGTCGATACATTGGGTAGGATCTAGTGTTGACTTGGCGTTCTTGATAAGGAATCCAAGTTTTTCCAGCTGTTCTCGAACTAGATGAGTGTGCTCCTTGGCCTCCTCCTTGGTCCTGGCTGCGATGAGGATGTCGTCGAGATATGCGAGATCCTGATCCCTTTCTCCCTTGCCCACTTGAGAATTGGACGCACGATTTTTGTGAAGACGAAGGGGGAAAGTGAAAGTCCGAAAGGCAGAGTTCGGAACTGGTATGACTCCGCTCCCCACCTGAAGCGGAGGTACCTGCGAGATGCTGGATGGACTGCCACATGTAGAAGCGCATCGCTGAGGTCGATACTCGTAAGCCAGTCGCCGGGGTTGAGCATCCTGCAAATGTTGATGAGGGTTTCCATCTTGAACTTGGGTGCTGTCAAGAATTGGTTGAGTGGACGTAGGTTCAACACTGGGCGTAGGTCTCCCATCTTCTTGGGGATAGTGAAGATACGACTGTAAAATTCCTTCCCGCTGCAGCCTTCGATAGCCTTTTTCCGTAATAAAGTACGGACTTCTTCGTCGATAGCCGTCCGTTCCTCCGGTGAATTGAACGGATCGTGTAGCGGTGGTAGGCGCAGTGGTGGAGGTCGGTCGAAAATGATGCTGTAGCCCGACTTGATGATGTTGTTGACCCAGGTCGAATCCGTCATCTCTCTCCATGCCTCCTGGAACTGGAGAAGTCGTCCTCCTACTAATCCGACTCCTCCCCGTCGTTTCCCTGGTCTGGTTGCTTCCTGCCTTGACCGCCACCAGACTTGTACCGAGGCTTGCTACCATACTTGCCTCCGTCCGACTTGTAACCCGACTTGCCGTTGTCGGATCTATATCCTGACTTGTCCTTGGGTTGCGATTTTCCCAACTGCTGGTCCTTGGGTGTGTCGTCTGTTGCTGACTTGTCTTTGATAGACTTGTTGTCAGGCTTCTTGGTCTTGTCCTTTGGAGGTTCGTATTTCTTGTATGTCTTTCGAACCAGATCAGCGGCTGCTTTTTTGGCAGCCAGTGATTCCAAAGTGAAAAGGGATTCCTCCTTGTCGTTTCCATGCTTAATACCGAGTTCGTCGAGGTAAAGGTTCTCTCGCATCCGACTGATCCTGGAAGCGTCGTGGGATGCTGAAATACGTACGGTGTTGAGGAAACCGAGCGTACGTTTGCCGTGAGCCGAGTCGGATTCCTTATTTTTGATGATCTCATGGGCGAGAGTGTCGTAGAACCGGGTTGTGTGTGCCAAATATCCTTGGATTGTTGCCAAATCACGTTCGTGTCGCTTGGCTGCATCCGTGAGGGACACTTCGGAGTGTTGCAAAACTGGGGGAGGCTTGTAATCCATACCCTCGGTGTAATGGTAGTCGTTCCAATCGAAAACGTCATGGTTCTTGGGAAGCTCGGAATCGAAGAACTTGGGTTCCCCGATGGCTGGATAGATGTTGAGGAGTTCCTCGTAGAGCTTAAGAGTGGTTGCTCGGGGCTTGCAGACCACTTTGCCGTCCTGTTCGACTGATTCGGCTTCCAGTTGTTGAATCCTGGCTTGTTGCTGCTGTAAAAGGAGTTGCTGTTGCTGCATTTGCTCCTGCATAAGGCGAAGGGTCGTGTAAATGTCGATATCGACATCGGGGGCCGTAGGATTGGGTGCATGGGACATGGGGGAGGATCGTTCCGAGATTCGGGGAGAGTGTTCCGGCCGTGAAAAAGAAAGATAGAGATCAACAGATCACCTAGAGTCCCCTTTTATTTTGTTTTCATTTTTCATTTGGATGAAGTTATTCTCACAGCCCTGTGAAGTCTTATTCTCACAGGGTCCTAAAATTTTACATGGGTTTAGCATGAAGAAGGTGACATGGTCTTTGTGCAAAAACAGTTTCTCTACTTTTTTTTCTCAAACTGCTCGCAATCACTTCAAGACTCACTGAAGCCATCCTAACTATTGTTTCCATGGCCTACCACCTTCATACTCCTGCTTTCTTCGACTAAATTTAACTTTTTCGACCATCTAATGGTCCTATAATTGACAAAGACTTTGATGCCAATATTTCATTGAACCAGAACCCCAATCATGTCCATTCTTATACCAATCGATGCACCTCTTTATGAGGCACAATAGGTATCTAAAGTGAAAGGGCTACTTCATATTGCGTTTTTGGACTTTACATTGATGGATGTGATATTACCCTGTGAGAATAAGGCCACACAGCCCTGTGAGAATAGATTAATCCTTTTCATTTTCAATTTTTTTTTTTTTTGGAAGTCACGGCTAATAATAAAAGAAAGATACACATATCTAGAGTCCCTGGCAAGGAAGAATAATAAAAGAATGATATACACAGATAGAGTCCCTGGCAAGGAAGAATAACATGTAAAAAAGCGCCGAGATCATTCGCCCAACTCCTGACAAATCCTGGATGGATTTAGGCAATGTTCCTGTAAACACCTTCAACAGACAGTAGACTTGTGGCACTCTCATATCCATCAGATAGAATGTCAAATCGTAGCCAAAGATCTGACATCCCCACACAACTGGCTCCGGGACACCTTTTTTGATCTGTAAATCAATCTCGCTTTTCATCATTCGAAATAGCTTCCACTGGTCTTGAAGCTCGAGTTGCTCGATCTGAGCCTTCTCGGGAGGCTTGACCTCACCAATAAGGCCCACACATGACGTCCCCAGATGAGGAAAAGGCAAAGCAACGTAAAAATCACTGCGGACTCCTTGCTTGTGATCTGTTTTGTACTCGTTGGCAGACTCATGCTCGGTGTTTCCTTTCAACAGCTTGTTACTCCTTGCAGAAAACGTGACCGATAAAAACGGTGATAGCACTCGGTTCATAAACGTGTGTTCTCCATCCTGAAGACCAAGTCTATGCTCGCTTGGTAAAGTGTCTGCACTACAAAATATAAAACGACATTTAAGAAAAAGCATTACACAAAACAATACTGCGACATCGATTATAAACAGATATTTTCACTGACAGCAATCTCCATACTTTCAGTGCTTTTCTCGCTTTCCGTGGGATTTCGGAAACTGACAACTGATCGATTGCCTCTGAGATCTCATACTCTCCACCGGTTTGCAAAATTTCGGATAGTGAGGGTGTTAGCGCCGAGATATCCTTGTACTCTGTAAAGCGGTACGCATGACTCATGGTTTGAACAATAGCCTTAGCATCGGAACTCGGCAACACAGCCTTCCCAACGAACCAAATACCATTCAAAGCCCTATTAATACCACACAAATATATCAATGTTAATAACTCGAACCATGTCTTACAATCCATTCGCAATACCACAATAACTTACAGAGCTTCTGCCTTTTGGGTAGCAAAATCAAGCGATCCTATGTCCGCTGCGGCCTTGCACCTCTCTCTCTCAATCTGTCAAAATCTCCATAGACAGGGTTGTTTCGCAACACACTAGGTGCAGCAAAAGATGGGTCCTTGAGATCCACCAGAAACATCAAACCCTTCCTTTTCTGCTGAGAACCAGATCGTCTCCAAGCGGGCGCGACTTTGGAACCAGCCAACGTTGATTGTTCGAATCCATCCTTGGCTGAGGAAAACGATTCCGCTGGAAGCGTGACTGCCGAAGATGTCTCTTCTATTACAAAGTAGAAACAGTATCCCCTTCCCTGTCCACCCCCAGCTCAAAAATTTCCACCCAAAATGTGGGTCCAATTTTTTTTAATTCAATAACTATTCAATCAAATATTAAAGTTGGAGTACAGTGTGATAAGAGGAATAACAGTTGGCGGTGGTTTTGAAACAAAGAGGGTAGATTGGCTGTGTTAATCGAGGGTTGGTACTGATGTAGATGTCGACTTTTCCACCATCGGAGTCGCTTTTCGTGTAATGGGACTCATGTGACAATAATATCTATCCTACGCAAATGTTTCACACGTAGTATCTGTGATTTTCCAGAAGGTTTGTGAGTGTAGACGCGTATGATGCTATCCTACATACGTTTCAGAAGCTTGTTCAGACCTAGAGTGTCACTGCCAAGAGTGGACGAACATGCTCCTACTGTACATTTCGTGAATTTGAGGAGTGTTGCGTATTTGCCTTGTGGATCATAGATAGATGAAGACATGAACTAGCTAGAACTAAGCCACCAGGAACGACATAAGAGATCGTTCCTGGTGGGCCCTAATACAACCTTCTTCTTGTCTCGTTACTTACAAAGTGAGTCTAAACCTTATTTTATCGCAGTTTTTTTAACGAATCCAAGTGGTTTGTTTGTATTGTTTTTATCTATCCATTGAACTGTTTTTGCATCCTTGGTGCATTCAGTTTCAATCCATCAAGCTGTTTATACATCCGTTGTGCATACAGTCTTGTCGAGTTGGTTGTACATCCTTTGTGCATCCATTCTCTTTCAATCCACTCTCTGGTTCTTCTAGAGTAGTGATTGACGTACGCACCACAGGTTCAATCCCGTGTGTATCGTACTACTGTTCTTTCTTTCTTCGGTTCTTCTGGAGCACTGTCAAATTGTGACTGTGGTGATTGAACTACGTTCCGCAGACTCAACCCCTGTGTGTATCGTACTTGTTTTTGATCGATTCATCTCTCTAGTTTGCTTTCCCTCAACTTTTCTGTTGAGTGATCTTTTCGCTTCGTCATTATCTTGTGTCGTCTATGGAGGCCATCCATGTTCGGCTCCACCAACCATAGACTACAGTATAAAAATATCTGTCAACACCTATTAAAACAGTGTGTTCCTTGAGAGTACAACAAATCTCATCAGCTTTTTCCTTCCACCAGTCTCCATTTTCTACATTCACCACCACTACTTTGTAACATCATCTACTTTAGCTGAGAAAGCCTTGGACATGATCATCTCATATTGGATCCTTGATATTACAGATAGTAATTTCCTTTCCAATATGAGATGATCATGTCCAAGGCTTTCTCAGCTAAAGTAGATGATGTTACAAAGTAGTGGTGGTGAATGTAGAAAATGGAGACTGGTGGAAGGAAAAAGCTGATGAGATTTGTTGTACTCTCAAGGAACACACTGTTTTAATAGGTGTTGACAGATATTTTTATACTGTAGTCTATGGTTGGTGGAGCCGAACATGGATGGCCTCCTAGTAGAGCATTTGTTTTCGTGTTTATATAATTAGCGATGGTTACTAATATCTCCTTTTCATGATATATCCTATGTGTATATCCAATATAGCACTCGTGATACTGGTGATGATGTAGTGGTAGTTTTAAAAAAAAAGTTGGATCCCGATTTTTTTAAAAAGTAGCATAGTGGCTTTAACAAACATTGGTTGTTGGAAAGAAAGGGTAGCTGATACGTTTTTAATGGCGTTATTGCTACACTTTCTCAACAATATTCGACATTCGACATTTGACATTCGGCATTCGATTCGACAGCTGACAAACTGTAGTTATTACCATAGTTATGATATTTGATATGAACGCATTTTGGATGACCTCGTGATTATCGTGATGTTTAATTTTAATACATTCTTGATAAACTCGTAAGTATTACAATGTTTAATGTTGACATACTTTAGGTAAGCCCACGATTTGCACGACGTTTAATATTATTACACTTTGGTTAACTTACAATTGTTATAGCATTTATTGTTATACAGATTGTAGGTAATTACGACAATGGTAAAAACAGAGATATCGCAATTAGACCATGCATTGTGGGTAGTTGTAGATATAACAATTATATCGTTTAAAATAGACGTTTCTTAAAACACATCACATATTTTATAATGCAAATGGCTATTATATTACAACGTTTCTATTGCATTTTGTGTGATAACAAGATAGAAAAAATGTATTGTTAATAGAGTAATTATGTCGTTAAAAATAGACGTTTCTTAAAACACATCACATATTTCGTGATGCAAATGGATATAAACATCGTGGCGTTTCTATCGCATTTTGTGTGATAATAAGGTAGAGAAAATGTGTTGTTAACAGAGTAATTATGTCGTTTAAAATGGACGTTTCTTAAAACGTATCACATATTTCGTGATGCCAATGGGTATAAACATTGTGACATTTCTATCGCATTTTGTGTGATAATAAGATAGAAAAAATGTGTTGTTAACAGAGTAATTATGTCGTTTAAAATAGACGTTTCTTAAAACTTATCACATATTTCGTGATGCAAATGGGTATGAACATTGTGACATTTCTATCGCATTTTGTGTGATAATAAGGTAGAGAAAATGTGTTGTTAACAGAGTAATTATGTCGTTTAAAATGGACGTTTCTTAAAACGTATCACATATTTCGTGATGCAAATGGGTATGAACATTGTGACATTTCTATCGCATTTTGTGTGATAACAAGACAGAAAAAAGAAGTTGTTAACAGAATAGTTATGTCGTTTAAAATAGACGTTTCTTAAAACACATTACATATTTCGTGATGCAAATGGGTATGAACATTGTGACATTTCTATTGCATTTTGTGTAATAATAAGGTAGAGAAAATGTGTTGTTTAAAGAGCAACTATGTCTTTAAAAATAGACGTTTCTTAAAACGTACCCCATATTTCGTGATGCAAATGGGTATGAACATTGTGACATTTCTATCGCATTTTGTATGATAACAAGACAGAAAAAAGAAGTTGTATAAATAAAAGTTATGTAGACTTAGGAAATGTCTATAAAATATCGTTTGTATACTTTGGTGGTTGGGAGAAAATTGGTGGTTACAAAAAAGTTGTCGCAAAACCGCCATGATGAAATACTTTGACATCTGGTTGAGGGGCTTGTTCCCCTATCGTGTTTATCGTTAATAGTTTTAAAAAATCCAAAAGTGTGTTATATAAAGGAATTTTTGCTAATAGTTTACCAGGTTGTAATTACAGTCATGGCAAACTTAAAGCGCCTATTTCAACGGTTGTTAGAGGATGAATGGACTTTTTTGGATGTAGAATGGCCTACGCAAGAACCATCTAATAATCATAGGACTGCGTTGAAGCTAGTAGCACATATGAAAACTGTTAAAGACTTACTTATAAGAAGATTAGGTGCAATTCCTGTATTCTACTTTCTTGTAGTTATTTGGTCTCTCAAGCAGTATCCAGGTCCATACAGAGAAGTCGACAAAGGATTGTTGATATTGTACCACTTAGTTGCAGGCTTGGCAATGGATGGAATGTCAACCCACATACCAAAAAGTAGTTTCCACTCCATTCATACAGAGTTCTACAAGACTAACTATAATGTGCATTCGAAGCATATTAACCATGCACTTGCGAATATGTTCTCCACATTTCCTATACGCTTGATGTCTGCTAAACTCAGGAATCCACCACTATTCCCACATGTAACATTGCATTTGGATGGTCATGATACACGTCTTTCATGTGAAGAAAAGTCTAGCTCAGACATGTACTCTTACAAGCTGAAGAAATCTGGTGTAAGAACGCAAGTGTGTGTCGATTGCAATGGCATGGCAATACTAGTCTCTAAATCGCTACCTTGCAAGGATAACAACGATGGTACTATGTTGGTTGGTATGAAGATACATAAGCACATCCACGAGCTAGATTGTATTGCATTGGATGGAGGGTACACACAATACATTAAGAAAATAGTAGAAGAAACAAGCATGAGCAAGAAAAACTTTTGTTATCCAATTCGCAAAAGCCGTGGGAAAGATCTTGCACAAGATGAAACTAACTACAATAAGATTTTCGGCAGTTTCCGCTCTCAGATAGAAGCCGAATTTGGAGATCTTGGAGCAACCTTTGAGAAGCACAACAATAGGAAACCAGTGTTGGTAACCAAGATAGAAACATATAATTTGCAATTGCGATTGTGTCTCTTACTTATGAACATCAAGAAGATGGTGGCACTACTGCAGTTAAATCTGGAACCCATTCATAGTGCCTGGATTAGAGATGGCTTCGACTTTCCATATGCCAATGGTGCAATGGAACAAATCTTGGATTATATTCCAGTGGATGAGATATTGCATGATGCACGAGATATAACAAAGTTACAAGAGCAGTTCTTGGAGATGACTACTATGGATGTCGAGGATAAACAACGGGAAGAGCCGACTAATAAGCGACGTGAAATTTTTGCAGGAGTGGAGATTCCATCATATAAGCGTACAAAGTAAGCCCATTGTAATTTTTAAAAACTATCTATTAGCATTCTTAA